CAATCAAGGATCCAGTCCCGACGCGGCTCACAACATCGAATTGGGCTGATTAGCAGGATGCCCATATTTCCCTTGCAACCAGGTTCGACATCCTTTTTGGTGGCGGGTGTTTGACGCGGGTTTGTGGGACCGTCTTGGGAGCCTTCTACCAGCGCCTTTTTGAAGAGCCACACTGCACAATTCCTTACGAAAAGGAACATCTGGTCTGTTGCCTGAGTTGGCCCATGCGAGCTTCCAAACCCCCTTTTGGTTCTGCATGACCCAAGGGATGTGGACAGGTCTTTGCTTAGACCAAGGGATTGACTTGGGAAAGTAGAGCCTTGGGCTTTGCAGCAGGGTCATGGGAAGAAGCTTTGGTTCGCTGGAATTCTTGTGCGGCAAGTCACTAAATTGAACATAGTGGCAAGCCCTTTTCCGCCCCAAGGCTTCTTCTTAAAAGGGTCTTAGGGTTTGGGGTCACGATGCAGATGAAGCATGGAAGCTCCAAACCAGGGGACCCCATTGCATTCGCAGGTCGGTGAGTTTTTGAATGGGGCAAGGATGGGCAAGGTGCCTGGTAAGTGGTTATCTGTGGCTGCAACCCATTAGGGGACTGACAAGCAGAGGTTTAGTGCCTTATAGGCATTTTTTTGTTTATTGTTTTTGTTTTGTGTTTTGTTGTTGTTTTCGTATTATTTTTTTTGGGGGGGGTTTGGGTGGGGGTGTTAGGGGGCGTTGGGGGCGTTGGGGGCGTTGGTGCGTTGGTGCGTTGGTGGTTTTGAAGTTGGGGTTTCCTGGTTTGCTTTGGGCCGGTTTGCGGCACCCGGCCGAGGGCCCCAAGGCGGTCCAGCAGGTCTTGATCTGCGGGGGGCTCTTTCCGGAAGACCCTGCCACCATCAAGGCTCGGGGCTCGAAAGTTGGGGGGGGAGGGAAAGAGCCTGAGGGCCGGGGGGGGTTTTGGGGGGGGGTGAGGGGACTTGTTTCTTGGCTTTTTCGAATTCTGTTGGGCTTTCCATCGTTTTCCCTTAGCAGCAAGAAGGTCACTTTTTGCAAGGGGGCGGGGCCTTGAAGAATAGACTTGGCACAACAGCAACCAGCTGCTTTAGAGGTGTTCTGCCTGTAGCTGGTGATTTGTTGGGCGAATCCTTTGCGGGTCGGGAGCTTAGGCTAGGCCTAGGCGAACATTTCCGAATCTTCCCCACCCGACCAATCGCAAACGCTCGAAGACCTTGTTTTGAACGAGGTCAGGCTTAGGTGGCCAGGTTTGAAGCAAGTGTTCGGCACTTTTGCTATCATCAGCCGAACGCATCTTGATGCTTGTGTTTCCGCACAGCTAGGCAGAACGCATGTTGGGGGGGTTCTGCGCACTTGAGGTAGGTGGGAAAGCGTTCCCTGCAGAGGCTGGTAGGTCCTGAAGGCTCATGGCCGTTCCTGCCTCAAAAGAATGCTTCCGTACACTCCCTGAGCCCAGACCGCTCCCATGCTCGTGACATCGAAAAAAACGGTGGGGCTCCACCGGGACCCCAACAGCGCTACTCCAGGGAAGGCGCGATTCGCGACATATTTTAGGGCCGCGGTGGAGGACATGTCGCTTTTGGTCGGCTGGTTTTCGTTAGAATGTGAATTGGGAGACCACTGGTTTGGATGGGTTTAATTTGGCGTTTACCAGGAGGGCAACCCAGGGAATCTGGTAGAAATGCGTGACTGTCTGTGTGTGGAGTCCAAAAAGGACCAGTAAGGTTTGGGGAAACGTCCCAGCCCACGAAGTGCGGACCTAGAGGAATGGGAACCCTTTAACATGGGCTTCGGTTTCCCTTTGGCCCGGTAAACACATAACAACTCAAGGGCTACGCAACCAAACATGCGGCCAACCAAATTGTCACCGCCCAAATGGGGGATTTTAGGCTCGGTCCCATTCCCTCCAAGTCTCAGGACTATCCCTGAAAAAACCGGAGAGGGTTGACACAAACAAACAAATCGAACCCCGGTCCTCAAATGGCGTGGCTCCCTTTACCAGGGGCAAAATACCCTTGTGCCAGGCTATGAGAAGCCTAAACATTGCTTTCCTTTTGATTTTAACGGCTCGCCTTTGCGGTGTTCCTTCATTTTCCCTTTCAAGCAGCTCCGTTCTTTGGACCGGGCCAAAACAGAACCGGAACCTGTTGAAATGTGTAGCCCAATACGCCAAGAGTCATGTTCGGTCGGTACATGTTCAGTTGAGTCATGAACCAACGCCCACAACTTCCCAAAAGCGAGCCCCGCAACTTCCCAGACCCACCGATTCGAGGCCGCGCTGCCGCAGATGAAGGCGCAGCTGGCGGAACTCTTGGAGGATAAGCCCCTCCAGGTTCGACCGCTCGACTGGGTGAACGTCCCCAGGATACATCCGGGGTGCTCGGTTTGTTGAGGGCGCCCGGGGTTGTAAGGCGGGTGTTAAAGGAAAGCCAAAAGGAGGTACGCCCTTTGACATGCCTTGTTTGTTGGAAAGGGCTGCGGCGCATTGACCGTGCTTCCGAGGCGATAGTTGAAACGTCATTGTGGCTGGGTTTGGCGTGTGTCGCCATGCACAGCCTTTGGGCACTGGCGGCGACTGGCAACCTGTTGGCCCGGGGCGTGCCTTGCCAAGATGTGGCCATCAAAATCTACGAAGACATCAAAATCGCCGAGCTCAAGCTGCGGAAGAGAGCCCACATCCTCCAGCTTCGTCTTCCTTGCCTTGCCTTCCGGCATGCTGGGGTGGCAGAGTGGTGCGCTTGCTGTGGTTACGGAAGTGGCAGAGAGCAGCCTGCGAAAATCGCCTGGGAGCGGAGAGAAGCCACAAGATACACGTCCGGCGAGTTACCAGAGATACAGCGAAGTACAACGGTCACCCGCACGTTTCTGGAATTGCTTATGGGGAAGACAACACAAGAAGTCTTAGGGTGTGTCGTCGATTTCAAAGAGGGAACCTAAGTGTCCTGACACCCCCAACTGGCACGTCTGTTACTCAGGAATAACATGCCATGAAGTTTCAGCTTAAAAAGGCCCTGGCCATGGGAAGAAGTCGTATCAGAGTCGTATCCTCTACTTTTCAACCATATGCCACCAATTCAACCCTCGAGACCAGCTCCAAATTGTCATTTTTGGAGGGTACTCTGGAAGCAAAGAATCCCCACTACACATGGGGACCCGCTTTGAGAATTCTTAGGTTCTTTACTCAACTTCCATTTGCGTTTCAGAATATATATATATATACATATATATATATTGTCCCCATGTTCGTTTTAAAGGGAGTCTATGCCGACTAGAAATTTGCGTTGACATGTATTTCTTGGGGGTCTTGGGCAAATGGAGCCTTGAGGCTGCAACTCGCAGGTGATGCCGGGCCCCAACGAGCCCAGCAACGCCAGCCTGCCACAGCTGCCGCACGGCGCCCCAAAGCCAGCCGTGGTCGGGGCATGCAGCCCAGTGGCTCAGAACCCATCTTACCTGCTGAGCTCATGGACTTTAAACTTGTTCAGGGTTGTCGTTGGGAAACAGTTTTCACATTTTGCTGATTGTGGTTTAGTGGTTGAAATCCAACCACTTGCCTGCTACAATTTAAATGTTTGCTCCCCTTCCAACGTCAGCCAGGTAAAACCCTTCTAGTGGCAAACAATAGGTCTTGGACTTTTTTGGGGCCATGGCCTTAGGAAGTGAGCCATACTCGGATGGACAAAATCCGTGCCGCGCCGGTTGGCATGGATGAATCCCTCTGGGGAAAACGAATCCCCAGTGCCGATCTGTGTGGATTTCGCCACAGAGAAAGTCCCGTGAAGTGAGCCACAATCAAAACCCGGGTAAGTGAAGGTTAGTAAGGGACAGTCCCAGCCATAAATAGCTTCGGATATCCGCCTTTTACATGGTTCTGGGTCGACCATTTAAATGCCAGGTTTTGATTATGACTCAAGTGAATTCCTAGTGCAAACTAGGCATATGAACCAAGTACTTAGTGGGTGTTCATAGGTGGTTTCACCAACAAACACTCTGACGTCCATTCGGGGGTTCTTAGTTGGCCAATGTTGCCTCCTTCAGCTCCAAGGGACTCGGTCAAACCACAAGAGTACCACAGTCGGCGTCCTTTCGTTTCCTCTCAGGCGGCAATTGTAATTCCCTTCCAGGATGGGAGGAACCCCTTCAATAGTCGAAATCCATGGCTGGATTCACACGGTTTGAACATTTGCAGCACAAGCTCCAAAAGGGGCGTTGGGGTCGGGTCCAAGAAGGGAAGGCGAACACCGAGTCGACGATTTCGGGCTGGATGGATGGGCTCCCAATGTCTTGGGGCCGGCGGCCGGCCGACCGAGGATTTCATCATCAGCTGAAGGGGTCAGCTTGCTGGTGCGATAAGTAGGGAATGTGGGAAGGATGGTTTATGGGGCCTTTCCTGCTGAGCAGCAAGTAAGGTGTGGAGGATTGAAAAAAGGGGCCCACAAGAAAGCCCTGGATGTCCCCTTTGGCAACTGGCGCATTTTTAGGTTTCCATGTCCCATTTTGGAAGCCAACAGGAAACCACCAGTGAAACCATTGGCATGGCAAACAGTTCCAACTCACACAAGTGGGATGCCCGCCCATGAAGGGCAGGACGGCGCTTTTGCCGGTGACAGCACCCCCAACAAAATAATCGCAAAGTGGAACTGGGCAGGGGTTTGCCCATTGAACCCAGTAAATCAGAGAGGAAATTTGGAGGGAAAAACAAATATCTTTCGGGACTCCCTGAAAGAGGGATTCCCTTTGCCCCAGAAATTCCAAGGGTGTTTGGGCCTTGGTGTTTCGGCCAAGTCCGTGAGTGGCAACGTAGCCTCCTTCAGCTCCAACCAAGGTGAGCTTACAGCTTGCTCCAAGCGCGCTAGAACCTAAGTGACTACCCTACGAGCCTGGAACCAGAGGGTCCCTTTGTTGGGGTCGGAAACTGGCCCGAATCCGGGATCTAGACGGATTCGTTCCATGCGCTGCCGAGGTTCCACAGCAGCCTGCTGCAGCTGACCCAGCCCAACTTCCAGGCGATAGGCGCGGAGTCGACCCACCCGATGCGCAGCTTGGGTCGCTGGGCGCGTTCAGTGGCGATGGGTGTTCAAATTCTGAAAGGCCGCCCAAACAAGATGGACATCCACATCACCTCAAAATAATTCGTCAACCAAGCCCAAAAAATGATGTAACCATGTGGTCTACACAGTTATGGTCGCGCCAGTCGCCTGTAGGTGTTTGAGTAGCAAGAAGCAAACATGCCCAGATCTGCCAGGTGCAAGACCATGCTAGGCGTTGTCACATGTGGGGCTTATCTGTGTCAATGCTGAGAATGGGGCGAAGCAGTTCCTAAGTCCTCCGGGCATTTACTTGTAGGTAGCTTTCCAGATGTTTGTCATGCAAACCATGTGTAGTAAAAGAGCTCAAGGACTGCCATTCCCGTCAATAACTTGAGTGCTGTGAACTGAACCTTTGACTGCTTGACAGAAGTCGCGAACCCGGGTATATGTTAATGATTTCAGGCAACAGTTTCACATCTGATTGCTTGCCTGTCCTGTTGATGGTGCTGAGGTTTTGACATGTGATGTTCACCTTGGTGCGACGGGAGTGCTTTTCACGCGCCCAAGTTCGCCCGAACAAAATCCTGCCCCCATTGGGATGAAGCTCTACAGTATGGGTTTGTTTTTTTGGAGGGTGTCCTTTTTGGGTTACTTTTTTAGGGGAAATCACAGGGCAACCTGTAAAAAATGGTGGCTCAAGACGAGCCGTCGTCCATCTCGCAAGAACATGTGTTTGCAATTGGTACAAGGTTTTGTCCATCAGTTTGGCAGATACTTGGCAGGCGGATTTCAGTCGGAAGGGGACCACTTTGGACGGTTATTTTTCTCACGATTCTTCTGGCATACTTACTGAGCTCAGCTGAGCTCAATGGCGATTTCACCCCTGAGGGCCCCATATTTTGGGATCCCTTATTTCAGGTTGAAGACTTAGGATAGGAGTTCCCTCGGATCCTTTGGGCGATTTCAGGAAAAAAAGCCACCGGCTCGCCGAGTTCGGCAGCATTCAAACATCCGGGTAAGCACGGATTTCGGCCGGCGGCCGCCGCCCTTTTCTTTTGTTTGTTTTTTGCAAGTGGGCCCCAAAAAGGCGGAACCAAGAACAAAAACGCACAGGTTCGCGCCTTTCTCCCCCCCTTTTGGAGAGATACCAACAGGATTTTTTCTTTACATATTAAGCAATAGGGGTTTCAATCCATGATTTTTCAACCATTATTCCCCTTTTAAACCTTTCAGAAGATGTTGCTGAACTATTCGATGGTTTAAATCCATGGAAAGTAACCCCCTAAGCCCCAAGACATACCTTACCTTTAAACAAGAAAGTCCTGTTTCACAACCATCAGACCGTTTTTTTTCATGTCTCAGCGCGTGGCTGACCGGGCTTTGGCCGCGTCTACGGCTCGCGGCTCGCCACGGCGTGAGGCAACCCCTGCAGCTTCAACTTCGAGGGCCTGCAGGTGATGGGCTCCTCCGGGCAGCCGGTGAAGGATCCGGATCCGATTCGGATTCGGATCGGAGGTGGCTGGCTGGAGGTCTCGCAAATCGGGGAAGACGGAAAGACCCCAAAATGGGTGGCCCTGGTAAAGGACGTGGAGTGAGTAACCCGGTGGTTTTAAAAATGGTTTCATTTAGGCCCATAACCATGGATTTGGTCAGAGTGGTGAAAGGAGATGCTCACTCCAAATGAGTTCCGTGATAGGGGCTGAAATGACACTCATTGGGTTTTGACCAGGAAGCGGTGGCAACCACCCAGTTTGATGACTTGAGTTTACCTAAGGGGTTTTGACCATTGGCCTCCCCCCGCTTTTTGGACCCATGGCAGGTCCATTTGCCTGGTCAGCTTCATCTTCCTTGTTTGCAGAAAGTACAGTACGTTTGGTCAGATAGTGGCGATTAGGACTGGGGTGCCAGTCTGGTCAAGGATGGTGGACAAGGACCAGGTGACTTCTCGCAACGGTGAGGCAGCAGCCTTTGTCGGGGAAACCATTTCAAGGCTATGTCAGGGTTCTGCTATCGCATTTGGAGAGACAGTTAGTTAAACCTTGTGACGTAGGTGTTCATTCCCCATGGTTCTCGAGGCCTTCGAAAAAAACGGCTTCACATTGAACTCCCTTAAACGGACCCCCGACAACGCAGCTTTCACAATTTGACCACGGTCTGATGCCCGACATCGAATCTGGGGGGGTATTCTGTAGTGCCCGGATTGTCAACTTTGTTGGGAGGGGTTTCGCTTCAGCCAACCCAAAAGGGGAGGGTCTTGCTTCAACCAACCGAAAAGGGGGCTCCTGTTTTCCCATGGCCTTTGGAGCAAGTTTGGCTAGCTTTCAGTTGATCTCAAGTATCCTTTGGTGGGGTTCCGGGAGCCGGTGAACCGCCATAACAGGGGGCGGAGGTTCCTCTTCTCAAGTGAACCGCCAGAAAAGGGCGCTCGAATCCGGGAGAGGACATAGGAACCCTTTGGTTGGGCAATTATGTTGGTGAGTGTACCCAATGTCATCCCTTTGCTACAATAAGTGACCGTTGCTCCCATCAGAATTGCACGGGGGTTTATGTCCTTCATTCGATCCTCCTTAAACTTCGCAACCATATTTCCGGACACACCTCACCAAGTTGAGAAGGAAACTCATTTGGAATTACTCAAGGTGATGTTCACAATCGCACCGATTTTTAAGGAACCTGATGGGATTTCGACATTACCAACCCAAAGGTGAAATGTCACTTGAACCACACAGGCAAACATAGGGCCCATGGTTACGGCTGCGCCCCCCCCATTTTAGTGGTTACCTTTTGGGGGGGAAGGTTTCTTTTTTCGGGGATTGCCAGAAGAAGGCCACCATTTGGGTCCAAATCTCTGGAGGAGCGGGTTTCCCCGTGGGGTTTCCCCCGTGGGCATTTGAGCCACTTGCTTACAACCGATTCGGGCAGATGAAGGGCTAGGGGTAGTCTGACCCAGAAATAGTTGCGGATTTCCGCCTGCCCAATTCTTTACATGATTCTGGGTAGACCATTTCAATACCGGGGTTTGAGTGTGACTCACTTGACCCACCGGACCAGGACCTCCTGCGTTGCGCGCAACTGGAGCCCTTGGAGGGTTTAGAGCTCTGCCTCCAGGCGATGTGCGATCGAACATTTCAAGGGAGTCCTTCGGCCAGTTTGACCGGACCGTTTTGGGATTGAGCCTTTTTGCTTAAGAATTGGTGCTTTATTCTCCCTTTTCGGTTTTGAAGGGAATCTATCCCTACTGGAAGTAGTGTTATTTTTTCAAGGGGGTTGGTTTGAAGGGAGGAGCCAAAAGGAGATTGCTTACCATGTGGGGGGGTCGATTTTTTTCAAGTTTTGACATCCACCAGGGCTGTTCCATGGACCCTAGCAGGGCTATGGGGGGCTATCCCTGGATCAGAAAGGCCCCGCCCCCTCATAGCCCTGTTGAGGGGGGGGTCCATGAATGCTTCTTTTGCTTACCACTTCCTGAGTTGGGCGGTCTTCCCGGGTAAGGGAGAAAACATGGGTATGGGTCAAACTTAAACCACGAGGTATCGGACCGCAGGTTTTTGGTCTACTTCTCCACTTACCAGGGTTCTATTGCGGGTACCTATTTTTGACCCACCGCCATTTTTTTTCCAGGGGGGCTTCTGAGGTCCCTGTTCAGTCAACATCAGCGCAAGGGTGGCCACGGAGACAAGGCAGTACTTGGCGTTGCGCCGCGTTTGGCGAACCAAAGATGGGGTTTAAGTGTTAAAAACCTAGAATGGGTTTACGAGCTTACTGGGCTAGCCCTCGAGTCTCCAACCCGAAACTAGACCACGGTTGGCCCGAAAGCAGAACATCGCAAGCGAGGTCGGCCCAACGCTGCAGGATGCGTTCTTTTTCCCTACACGAAGCATTTGTGAAGCAAGCGCGAGACAGCACCAGGCAAGGTGCTCTGCGCAAACTGGTCGGTGCAAGTTGGTCTGCGCAAGTTGCTCTACGCAAGTTGCACTGTGCAAGTTGCTCTGCGCAAGTTGCTCCGCGCAAGTTGCTCCGGCAAGTTGGTCCCTGCAAGTGGCTCCCTGCAAGTTGCTCTGTGCAAATTGCGCTCCCTGCAAGTTGCTCTGTGCAAGCTGCTCTGTGCAAGTTGCTCTGTGCAAGTTGCTCTGCGTAAGTTGCTCTGCGCAAGTTGCTCTAGGCAAGGCGCTCTGCGCAAACTGGTCGGTGCAAGTTGGTCTGCGCAAGTTGCTCTGTGCAACTTGCTCTGCGCAAGTTGCTCTGCGCAAGTTGCTTTAAAATGCAAGTTGCATCTTGCGACGCCCGCCCGCGGACCAGGGAGGAATCGAACCCGCGACCCGCCGGTTCCGGGAGCAGGCGCGCGAACCACGAGACAACTCCCGAGGACCAGTTCGAACAACAAAAGTCGCAAAAAACCTCGAGTTTTTGCACCTCGACCACGCCGATCCCCGCAGAGGGTTGCGCGAGCACCGCAGAAATCGCAAAAAACCTCGAGTTTTTGCACCTCGACCACGCCGATCCCCGCAGAGGGTCGCGCGAGCAGGTTAAACATCGCAAAAAACCTCGAGTTTTTGCACCTCGACCACGCCGATCCCCGCAGAGGGTCGATTTTCGTGTAGTGTCGTCGGCACTACCCCGCCGCCCTAAGAAGAGATTTTAACTCCTCGCAAGTCAATTGCACTTGACTCCTTGCACTTGCAACTTGCACTTGACTCCTTGCTTGTTTCAAGGAGTCATTGCAAGGAGTCATTGCAAGGAGTCATTGCAAAGAGTCATTGCAAGGAGTCATGGCAAGAATTCATTGCAAGCAGTCATTGCAAGGAGTCATTGCAAGGAGTCATTGCAAGGAGTCATTGCAAGGAGTCATTGCAAGGAGTCATGCAGCCATTGCAAGTTGCAAGGAGCCAAGTGCATGGAGTCAAGTGCAAGTCGCAAGTGCACGGAGTTAAGTGCAAGTTGCAAGTGCAAGGGGCCAAGTGCAAGGAGCCAAGTGCAAGGAGCCAAGTGCATGGAGTCAAGTGCAAGTTGCAAGTGCATGGAGTCAAGTGCAAGTTGCAAGTGCAAGGAGTCAAGTGCAAGTTGCAAGTGCAAGGAGTCAAGTGCAAGTTGCAATCCTTGCCATGACTCCTTGCAATGACTCCTTGCAATGACTCCTTGCAATGACTCCTTGCAATGACTCCTTGCAATGACTCCTTGCAATCCTTGCAATGACTCCTTGCAATGACTCCTTGCAATGACTCCTTGCAATGACTCCTTGCAATGACTCCTTGCATGACTCCTTGCACTCCTTGCAATGACTCCTTGCAATGACTCCTTGCAATGACTCCTTGCAATGACTCCTTGCAATGACTCCTTGCAATGACTCCAATGACTCCTTGCAATGACTCCTTGCAATGACTCCTTGCAATGACTCCTTGCAATGACTCCTTGCAATGACTTTCATGATGATGATTCCTTGCAATGACACCTTGTAATGACTCTCATGAGAACAACTCAAGTGAACCCAGCGGAAGAACCCTTCGCCATGCTTTCGGGAAAAAACAAATTGAGGGATCGCAATTTTTGGTAGATGACCCCAATTTAAAGGGTCATGGAGACTCAAGGTAGACATGAGCAAACAGATCTCGTTCCCACAATGGATTGGACAAGGCTAAAAACCAGCTGAGCTTCAAAACTAGGGGACCAACTGGGAAAGACACCCAGGAAAAAAAGCAAACCATGATGCGACGTACAGATTCAGAGCTAAACCAAGAGCCTAGCTGCTTAGCTGTGAGTCAAATCCCTTTGCAGACCCCTTTCTTTCCCCTTTGGTCTATTTGGCCAGTATCCAACACAGAGCCATCGCAGCGGGAGTAACTGCAACTCATCCTTTCTTGCCAAGGACTCCTCCTATTTGCTTACTCTTGCTGCCTTCAATGTTCTCTTCCTCTGTGCTTTTACTACTGTTTGGTGTGTTTGTGCCATCCCTTGAGCTTGGGTAGCCAGGCGACACAGAACAGTTTTATTTCGGGGGGGGGGGCAAATCAAGTCGGTATTCATTTTCTGGGCCTTGCATGTTCCATCCTTCCATTTCGTACACAAACCGAAAGTAACAGCACAGCCAGGAAAAAAAAAAAAACGCAGACGCGGACCAACACAAAGGCAACCCAAAACTGTTCTGTGTGGCCCTATGTCCCCACAAAAATGAAGGGCACCCCAAAACAAAGGCGACTCAAAACAAAGGCAACCGCCCTACGACTGCCGCCGAATTCAGACCCGCCCTCCAGTGAACCCCAATCGACGCTTCAGCTTCAGGCGAGGCACCTGGCGCCAACAGCGCCCGACACGCCGGGGGTGCTCAGTGGCCTTGGGTTTGGCTATTCTTGGTGGCTCCCAGCCATCCGGCTCCTTAGCTTTTTAGCCTTTTAGGGTGTTTCCATGTAGCCCACTAAAAGTTAAACTGTTAGCGGGAGATCTGAGTGCAGCCCAGTATTGAGGGTACCCTTTTTTGGGGTGTGCCTTAAAGGGAAGCCAAAGGGAAAACTGAAACTCATTCTTGGCGCAGTTCCAGACGCGCCCATGGAATGAGCCGACTTTTCCAAGAATGTCGACCCCGGAAGAATGAACCTGGTTGATTCTTCTAGGGGGGTGGTTTCCCAAAACTGATGGGCTCCCTCGTAAATGGGACACCACCTAGCCAGCCAAGGTTTCATGAGTGCGATTCCCATAGAAGCTCCCCCGGGTCCCTTTGCGACTCAAACCCAATCCCCATTTTTTTTTTTAATGCTAGGTACAAATTGCGCCTCGAGATTTGGAACGTCAATTTCTCGTCCCTCTTGTTTGCAAGTGGACGCAAAAGGAGCAATTGGTTTAGCTTGTGAAACCCATAGTGGATTTGGAACATTTTAGGCGGCGAGCGGAGAATCCGAGTCTTCCGAAGCAAAAACAAAAACAACGTGTTTTTCTCGGTAGATCCATGGCGTGACCCGACCTCACCTGAGATTCGGTCCGCCTTCGAAAGTACGACATGTTTCCCTGGGAAATAATTATCCATCGGACTGGCAGACGGACCTACTCACAAGCCAAACCCTGCAAAATGGATGACTCTTCATGCACGAAACCAATGGAAATACCAGGACCCTCAAGCAACGGCATGTCGACATGGTTTGTTAAGCGACTTGAGGGCTCTTTCCTGGGCGATTGACAAGCCAGTGGGGGCCTGGAAAAGATTCGGATGTATTCATACTATGCAGACAAATGAAGCTAAACATACACATTGATAGTTGTGTGTATATATTATATATATTTAATTATATTCATATGGCACTATGCAGATAGACATACAGATGAACATACTAATACTTTTAATATACACACCTACACATATACACGTGTTGTTTTTTCGACAACATGAAAGAACCACACATCATGTGGATATAGCGCCACTGGCTATTTTTCGGGTATTGAAGAATCGAGTGGAACGGGTCGGGGGGTGATCCGTTGGATCCTGATGAGTTGGGCCAGGCTGATGACCCAGCCCTTTGAGGACAAGGACCCTTTCGTCCTGGACGCGGCCGGGCGCTCGAGAGCCTCGACTTCTCGGCTGAGCGCGCGCCAATCGCACGGAAGCGCGCCCGGAAAGGACGGGGTGACGTCCCCACCCAAAACGTTTCAGTTGGTGGTTCTACCGGATTTGGTGGTTCTACTACTGGATTTATAATAAAGCCTATATAGGCCTTTATGACTTAAGCCAGATAGGTGCTTCTACTTGCTGCTTTAATTGGGAGGGCTGAGAAACCCTCCCTCCAGGGATCAAAAGAAGCTGACACAGGGTTTGGGAAGGCGGTGTTCCCTTTGGCGGAGCCTTTTTCCACTTGCAACAAGTTGGAAAGGGGGTAGCTGCTTGGTGTGGGAGCGCAGTGTAAAGCCTCTCTTTCAGTCCCAGACCTTGCTAGCTTCCACTGGAATTCACCCACCGTTCTTTTCAGAAACAAGACTTATGTTCCTTGGGTTTAGAATATGTTGCGCACCGCAGCATCCTTGAGGATGGGGTGGGGGAGGGTGCAGCTAGACCCATGTTTCCAACCATCATGGAAGTGGACAGGAGGTCTTTCCAGGACTATGATCTTCCAAATTCCCAGGTCAGCTTCCATGATGGTTGGCAAGAGGGTAAACTTGCTGGTGCTCAGCAGGGAATCAGGGGATGAACCGTGTTGGGATTCCCTCAACAGAAACCATAGGGAATGGTTCATACGGCTCATTTCAACTCATTCCCTGCCTCTGGCACCAGCAAGTACACCCATCTTGCACCCTGGTCCTACGGTCCCAATAGCCACCATTGACCAGACTGGCACCCCTCGTGGAACCAAACGTGGCTCAAAGAGGTGCCCCACGTCCTCTTCTCGGGCGGGCATGCTCGCGCGGTGGGAGGCTCAGAGCCGGGGGTGGCGTGGTGAATTGTTTGTTGAGGCTCTGGGGCGGGGGGGCGGGGGCGTTTAAAAGGGACACCGAAAGGAAACCCGACATCTTTTTGGGGGTCCCCTGCTTTAACCAGACCAGGTTGGAAACCCGGGTGGAGGAAGGTTAGCAAGGGGTAAGTCCCAAAGAGTCAATCACTCCCAAAGGCTGCTACTCTAAGATCTGTTCTCACAAACCCCTAACCAAAACTTGAGCAACAGGTTTGCAGGGGGATACTCCCAGCCAGAAATAGGTGCGGATCTCCGCCCTGTCTTTTTATTCAATTCAAGTAGACCATGATTCATGCCAGTCTTTGGGTATCATTTAGGTCTTAAGAATTCGAATGCTCAAGCGCTGCGTCGGCCAGTCAACGGGCCTTGGTTTCCTTTACCGGCCTTTTGGGGAGCTTGGCTTACGCTTCCAGTGCTCCCAACAGGGAAGAAAACGGATTTGGTTTGGCTTCCCCAAAAGCCGGACTGGTCATTGCTGCGCTGTCGGTCCTTATTTTGGTGGTGTTTCCACCAAAAGTGGATCGCAACAATGGGGGCTGGGGGGTTGACCCTGAAAATGACCGGGATCGTGACCCCATGTTCCAAGTGTCGTGGAGGCTCCAGGTACCTTAGGGTTTCAACACATTGAAACTCTACACAGGCGTCCTTGGCCCTTTCCGAAGTTCACTCGGCTCGAATCTTCAGAGCCAAAAGTCCCAACCAGCAGCATCCCCCCGTTGAGAGGGTGTCTCGAAATAGGCACCCCCCTCCCTCCCTGAAAAAACTCGGATGGTTTTATTTTGGCTCCCCCGTAAAACGGCCCCAAAAGGGGTGCCCATGTTGAGAGACAGTTTTATTGAACATCCCCAAATGCCCGGAGTGAGACTCCTCTTGGCTGAGGCCCACAAGTGGCGAGAAGAGGGGCAGGGCGGCACTCAGCCGGGGCCCTTAGGCCCAAGGCCCCCCGGTACTCCAAACACGGGTGCATCTTTTTTTTGGATATTTCCCGGTTTTAAGGCGATGGTACTGTGGATGGACGGAATCCATTTCGTACCACTCTGAAACCATGCTTGAAACCATTGTTTGTTGGCATTTACAGGGGACTCGAATCATTCCAGGGTTCCTTAGGTGGTGCAGGAATTGGTCCATCCACAGTATAAAATAACGCGAACCAAGGTGGGTGGATGGATCCCCGGTTTTATTAATCGCCCAAAATTCATGGGGGGAAGCTCCCCCTATTTTAAGACAGGCTAACGGCGCGTCAAGTGGGAACTGGGGTTGGGATCAGACCCCCAGCAAACAGGGGGCCCCGGCAAGAAGCCCTTTTGATGCTTGCAAAAAACGCTTGGGTAGACCCCTTTCAGTCCAAACTTCAATCAATTGTGCACGGCTGTTGATCATTTCGGCCACCAGCAATCCTTTTGAAAGGAAACGGAGAAACTGCAAAGCCACGTGGAGTTTCTAGTTTGTCTCGGGCATGGTCGGCAAAGTTTCAGCAAGACACCAGGTTCCAATTTGCCGACTTTTGGGATCAGCCAAGGGCTTGGTTTCAAGAAGTTGCGGAGGGGTCGCTCCGGGTTCTCCGTTCCAGGGTGCGGTTTTTGGGGGTCGGCAAAGCGGTCGAGCGGTGCTGATCTGAACATTCAGCCTATCCGCCGCGGAAGCCCATAAAAACCCTTCCGGAAGCCTTTGGACCTGCTCCGGACCGGACGTCACTGGGCGACCCTCTTGCTTTGGTATCAACCATCCAACGAGTTTCCTAGAAGAACCTCTGTAGGTTCATTCCCCACCTGGGTGTGGCTCAAAATTAAACAGGAGGGGTTACGCAGGTTTTGGTCCATGTTTCCACTTACCTACCAGGGGTCCATTTTGGGTACCGTTTTTTTTAGCCACAGCCACCTCTCTTGGTTTATCAAGCTAGGCCATTTTGAGTCTGACATAGAACCGTTCGGGCGACTCGGGGCCCACCATCAGATCCGATTGCGTGGGTCAACATTCGTTTTTTTTTTTTTTTGAAATATCTCAGCGCTGGTTGTGAATGAGTGAGTGTACTTCCAGGATATGCAAAATCCATGAGCAGCAAGTTTTGATATGCACGTACATACACACACACATATTATACGTACACACACATATACGTACACACACACACACACGCACAGACAACCACTGCCTGCTCAAGTGATTTGATGGCGGCGTTTCCTCAGGTGCATTTGCGTTCCGTCCTTCAGTCAGCATCCTGCCCTGGTGCTGGTGAATTTGCACGATCCCCGGGATGTGCACATCGAGGCAGATCGGGCAGATCGGGCGACTGACGATCTCAGGGCGTTGCGGGGAATTCAAACCAGAGGTGATCATAGGAACAATGTAAATATTAGCTAGGTCCCCCAGTAGTGCCCTTTTACCCTTTTTTGGGGGAGGGTTCCCCTACTAAAATAGACTGCAGCAACAAGTTGGTACCAACTTATTCTAACCTCTCAAATCTGGAGGACCTAGTTAGGCTTTGTTTCGAAATTCGGGGACCACCAAAATGAATTTTTCTGTTTTCCTCTTCCCTTTAAACCATTGACCCGCAAAGGGTACCCTCGTGCTGTATTCACCAACCCTTTCTTCATGCACAGCCAGCCAGCCAACCACCAATCAGTGCAAGTCATCCAGTTCTGGTTGTGTGTTTGTTTGGAGGGAGGGAATCCCTTTTGGGTGGCTCCAAGGGGACACCAAACGGAAAAATGCCATTTCTGAACCATGCTTGGCTGTTTGTATTGAAGCTTTCGTACAGGCCCGGTTGATCCAGCAAACAACAGGAAGTCTCCCCCACTGACATTTGCTCAGGGTGATTCCATATACTTTAGAGCCTCCGGCTCAGTCCGCCAACATTGTCCTCTCCCTTTTCTCCTTCTTCCTCTCTCCCTTGTCTCCCTGGTGTGTTCTGTCGTCCTCTCTCCCTCCCTCCGCTCCCCATCCTCCCCATCCCCCCAAGCCACTCTCTCCCCAATCTCCCTCTCTCGTATGTATGTATGTATGTATGTATGTATGTATGTATGTATGTATGTATGTATGTATGTATGTATGTATGTATGTATGTATGTATGTATGTATGTATGTATGTATGTATGTATGTATGTATGTATGTATGTATGTATGTATGTATGTATGTATGTATGTATGTATGTATGTATGTATGTATGTATGTATGTATGTATGTATGTATGTATGTATGTATGTATGTATGTATGTATGTATGTATGTATGTATGTATGTATGTATGTATGTATGTATGTATGTATGTATGTATGTATGTATGTATGTATGTATGTATGTATGTATGTATGTATGTATGTATGTATGTATGTATGTATGTATGTATGTATGTATGTATGTATGTATGTATGTATGTATGTATGTATGTATGTATGTATGTATGTATGTATGTATGTATGTATGTATGTATGTATGTATGTATGTATGTATGTATGTATGTATGTATGTATGTATGTATGTATGTATGTATGTATGTATGTATGTATGTATGTATGTATGTATGTATGTATGTATGTATGTATGTATGTATGTATGTATGTATGTATGTATGTATGTATGTATGTATGTATGTATGTATGTATGTATGTATGTATGTATGTATGTATGTATGTATGTATGTATGTATGTATGTATGTATGTATGTATGTATGTATGTATGTATGTATGTATGTATGTATGTATGTATGTATGTATGTATGTATGTATGTATGTATGTATGTATGTATGTATGTATGTATGTATGTATGTATGTATGTATGTATGTATGTATGTATGTATGTATGTATGTATGTATGTATGTATGTATGTATGTATGTATGTATGTATGTATGTATGTATGTATGTATGTATGTATGTATGTATGTATGTATGTATGTATGTATGTATGTATGTATGTATGTATGTATGTATGTATGTATGTATGTATGTATGTATGTATGTATGTATGTATGTATGTATGTATGTATGTATGTATGTATGTATGTATGTATGTATGTATGTATGTATGTATGTATGTATGTATGTATGTGTATGTATGTATGTATGTATGTATGTATGTATGTATGTATGTATGTATGTATGTATGTATGTATGTATGTATGTATGTATGTATGTATGTATGTATGTATGTATGTATGTATGTATGTATGTATGTATGTAATGTATGTATGTATGTATGTATGTATGTATGTATGTATGTATGTATGTATGTATGTATGTATGTATGTATGTATGTATGTATGTATGTATGTATGTATGTATGTATGTATGTATGTATGTATGTATGTATGTATGTATGTATGTATGTATGTATGTATGTATGTATGTATGTATGTATGTATGTATGTATGTATGTATGTATGTATGTATGTATGTATGTATGTATGTATGTATGTATGTATGTATGTATGTATGTATGTATGTATGTATGTATGTATGTATGTATGTATGTATGTATGTATGTATGTATGTATGTATGTATGTATGTATGTATGTATGTATGTATGTATGTATGTATGTATGTATGTATGTATGTATGTATGTATGTATGTATGTATGTATGTATGTATGTATGTATGTATGTATGTATGTATGTATGTATGTATGTATGTATGTATGTATGTATGTATGTATGTATGTATGTATGTATGTATGTATGTATGTATGTATGTATGTATGTATGTATGTAATGTATGTATGTATGTATGTATGTATGTATGTATGTATGTATGTATGTATGTATGTATGTATGTATGTATGTATGTATGTATGTATGTATGTATGTGTATGTATGTATGTATGTATGTATGTATGTATGTATGTATGTATGTATGTATGTATGTATGTATGTATGTATGTATGTATGTATGTATGTATGTATGTATGTATGTATGTATGTATGTATGTAATGTATGTATGTAATGTATGTATGTATGTATGTATGTATGTATGTATGTATGTATGTATGTATGTATGTATGTATGTATGTGTATGTGTATGTATGTGTATGGATGTATGGATGTATGGATGTATGGATGTATGGATGTATGGATGTATGTATGTATGTATGTATGTATGTATGTATGTATGTATGTATGTATGTATGTATGTATGTATGTATGTAATGTGATGTATGTATGTATGTATGTATGTATGTATGTATGTATGTATGTATGTATGTATGTATGTAAGGTAGGTAGGTATGTATGTATGTATGCATGCATGCATGCATGCATGCATGCATGTATGTATTGCATGTATGCATGTGTGTAATGTCATGTAATGTAATGTATGTATGTAATGTAATGTATCTATGTAATGTAATGTAATGTATCTATGTAATGTAATGTAATGTAATGTAATGTAATGTATGTATGTATGTAAGTTTGTATGTATGTATGTATGTATGTATGTATGTAATGTATGTATGTATGTATGTAATGTAATGTAATGTAATGTAATGTAATGTAATGTAATGTAATGTAATGTAATGTAATGTAATGTAATGTAATGTAATGTAATGTAATGTAATGTAATGTAATGTAATGTAATGTAATGTAATGTATGTATGTATGTATGTATGTAGGTAGGTAGGTAGGTATGTATGTATGCATGCCTGCATGATGTATGTATGTATGTAATGCATGTATGCATGTATGCAATGTAATGTAATGTAATGTATGTAATGTATGTAATGTATGTATGTAATGTAATGTAATGTAATGTAATGTAATGTAATGTAATGTAATGTAATGTAATGTAATGTATGTATGTATGTAATGTGATGTAATGTAATGTAAATGTAATGTAATGTATGTATGTTGTGTAATGTAATGTATGTATGTATGTCTGTATGTCTGTCTGTATGTATGTCTGTATGTATGTATGTATCCTTGCACTTCCCCTTTGCTCCCCAGTATTTCCCGCAAAAAACACTGTTTTTCCAGCGTTTTCGCAAAGATGATGTCCAAAAACACAGAGTTTTTCCAGATTTTCGGCAAAAGGATGCAGGAAGCCCAAGCCAGCAAAAAAGCCGGCAGGGGGAATCGAGCCTGGGACCCCTGTTTTGCGACACCGGGTGGTGGAACGTCATCAAATTGCCGCGCGGTCCTTGGGGGGGGGGGGCCCCCCCCCCACATCAGACGTCGGGTGGGGGGGGGGTTAGGGGGGGGGTTATCCTCTATCCTCTCTTAGGTGTCCGACACGCCGAGCAACGTCGGCGGATTTTGCCTTAGTCTTCAAGCTTGTCAAACTCACTTGTAGGCCAACCGTTCTAATTCAGGGATGTGTCCAACGATTTGCGGGCTATTCGTTAAGGCAGCACAGAAGGGGATCACCTTTTATGCCAGGTCCATTAGGAAGCGAAACACGGTGATTCGCCATGAGTCTACGGCAATTTCGGAGGATCAAGTGGGGCTATCCGATTTCCGCGCCCCTTTCTCACTTGTCGAATGCCGACAATTTCACCGTGATCTACGTTTAGTCACGGTTCCAAGAGGTTGACCTTATATTGTATGCAGTAGCTGGTGCCAAGAGGTTGTGAACAGGCTTTTTAGGCACACTGGCCACAAAGTGTACGAGTGACTTTTGACGAGTGCGCGGGTGGAGTGTACGAGTAGGGCGTGCGAGTGTGCGAGTGGAACGGGCGAGCGAGCGGACGAGTGCACGAGGCACTCGAACACTCGCGCGCCCTACTCGCCCACTTTTCACTCGCAAAGAAATAAGTTTGTCTTTTTTTGAACCTTATTTTTGACCCACAATTGGAACCAGTATTCGCAACGAAAAAATAAGGTCAAAAAAAAGAGACCTTGTTTCTGTGCGAGTGAAAGTGTGCGAGTAGGGCGCGCGAGTGTTCGAGTTACTCGTCCACTCGTCCGCTCACTCGCCCGTTCCACTCGCACACTCGCACAGTCCACTCACACACTCGCACGCAACTCTCGCACGCACGCAGGGTACTCGGAGGGTACTCGCGCAGGAACCATCATAAATGTATTTTGCAACCTCTTGGATCCAGCTAACGTATGCACATCCAAGGGGGGCAAGTGCGCTTCATGTGCAAATGGAAAGGGGCGACACACCCCAAGTAATTACGAGCTTCAGGGATATGGGTGGCTGTTTTGAGGGTCCCCATTTGTTGTGGTTTCAAAGGGGAATCCAAAAGGAACACTGCAAGTTGTTCAGGCCTCCCCCCTCAAAAACAATTACACCAGCATAGACCCCAGATAGCGAAACACGTTGGCAAGCAGCACACCTGCACATTACCCCCAGCAACCTGCCGTCAATCTGGTCGTCACCAGGCCCCCCCCCAAAACAGCACCTGCGCCAGCACCCCCGAGCACCCACGCACCCGCAACAGCACCCCAAACTGCATGCCGTCAATCTTGCAAAAGTGCGCCTGCGCCGGCACCTGCATGCCCCCTAGCACCCGGCCGATAATCTCGCAAAAAACCGCCCCTCAAACAGTGCCCCAATTAGCACCCCAAAACAGCACCTGCACCAGCACCCCAAACTGCACGCCCCTTAGCACCCAGCCGTCATTCTCGCAAATCACCTTCCCTTCTCTATTAGAAGCTAGAACCCCTATAGCTTTCAGCTATTTGGGGGAACAAAGATACACCCATAGTGTTCCTTGCTGACTCACTCCCTCTGTTTGTCCCATCCACTCAGGAAGTGAGCTGAGTGTTGCTCAAAACGGGCATGCAACTTTGTGTAAGGGACCCATTTTTTCTGGCCCCATGCATGGTCATTGCGAAGTAAGCAACCGGGCCAGAAGGGTGAAGTTTAGGTGGCAACGTCTTTTTGTGGGGGTCCTCCTGAAATTGTGGTTGTGCTTTGGCATTTCTTGAAAACCACATTTATTGTGGGTACCAACTCCAAATTTCGACGCGCCGCCCAAATTTGGCATGTCCTTCACCTGCCGGGATCCAAAAGCGGAGCCCGGTTTTCAGTCAAAGGAAATTCCCTACCCAACAATGCCAGAAACAGATGGCCTACCCGAAACCGGAACCCACACCCTGGTTCGGAGGGTTTGATTACAGGAAAATAAGGACGTTGACGGAGAAGGAGTTTGAGGCGGTGTGTTGTTTCCCAGGCCGCCGGAGTCGCCTTTTGCATGTGTATTGCAGGAGTTCTTGTCCTGAGCGGGAGGATTCGTGCTTTGCCCGCAAAGCACCGGGGGATGTTGGATCGGGGAGCGACGGCGAAACCCACAGCAATCCAGTGCACAGGTTGAGCGAGTCGATGCTCCGCAGATCGGAAGGAACCCCAAATAGCCCAAACGACATCCAGTTGTTGCGTCATTGAGGATTCGCCTACTGGATGACGCTCGTTAGGGATGATATTGGGTCTCTCCCCACTTTGTCACTGCAAACAGAGATTTACTCCCCAAAGACCCAATATATAAGTTGGGGTCACAATGAATATGTCACTGTGGCTGAGGTCAAGCTTACCGATCGAGGGTATATCTTGAGCGACTCAGTTTAAGCCATAGTGAAGGTGCCTTGCTCGATTCGGCATGTCCAGCTTGTGATGGCTGCTCCTTCTTTCTTCCTTTTGGAAGTTTCAAACTTGTTTGAACGACCTATGTCCAGACGATCATTTTCAGTGGCACGGGTTCTTCCTTTTTGTTCGGTGGCTTTCCTGCAAAAGTACTCACTCCCAACAGGATTCCAAAATTTTCCCTTTGCCCACTGGGCTTGTGAAAGAAGACTCAGTCCCACCAGGATTCCCTTTTTGCCCTATGCCCACTGGGCTTGTGAGAGAAGGGATTCCGTTTTTCCTCCAGTCACAGCAATTCCACCCAATTCAGATCTCTGCCGTGCTTCCCGATCCGATCCTGGCCTTGAAACTTGAGGCTCCGAAAAAATGTTGTGTGAGCGTGTCTTTTTCTGCGGGGGAACCTGTCAGTTCTAAGGTAAAAACTGGGCTTGCTTCTAAGAATGTCCTGTGTTGATGGTCCCCAACAAGCACTCTTTTAAGGGAACCTGTCAGTTTTAAGGGAAATTGTCAGTTCTAAGGCAAAAACTGGCTTCCAAGGATTTCCTGTGTTGATGGTCCCCAATAAGCCACACTCAAAATCGAGTAGCACCCGGGCGCGCCGGCATGGGGATCAGCGAGCGCCGAAAGCCAACGGAAAAGAAGAGCGTGTCTTACCTTGCTGGGTTTCAGGGAGCGAATTGGGTTACTTTCTTCCACTTGCAGAAATGAATACGTTTTACTTCCCACTGTTGGTTTTAAAGGGAATCTATCACTAATGGAAATATGTTTTTTTTTTTGCAGGGGACTTAATTAAGCAAGTGGATGCTTACTATAGTTCTGGAAGCACTGGCAAAGGTCAGCGACTTTTAGAACAATAGGTGTGCGTAGCTTTTTTGCCGGGATCTTGCCAGAGTGTGATGAGTGTGGTGAATGGGAGATCCCCTGCATTTGAAGAGCTTCCCGTTTGGTTCCCCTTTGCAATGGCGCGCCGTAGAGTCTGATGAAACCAGGTTTGACCGACCGACCCTGGTTGCTTTCTGGCACTGTGATCGCACGTGAGGGCAGACATGCGGCTCTTTCAGCATCTCCTAAGCCCGTAGCGTTGTTTCAGCAATGAACTATGGCCCATTCAAAAGGTTGTTCGCATTCCGACGCCGACTCTTGAATGGTGTACCGGTGTACCGGCAAACCAGCAGTTACCCGCGAGGAACAACAGGCAGAATTACCAACACTTCTGTTATATTCTGTTATATACTACCCGTCCTATTGTTCGGGGGCTGTTCCCCTCCCACAGTGATGACTCCCCAGGTCAACCCACTCCCTCACCCTACTAGTGAGTTGGGGAGGAACATGATAGACTGAAAGATGGTCACCACCCTACAAAACCAGAGCTTGCGCTTGCCAAACCGGACAGGCCTTCACTCGGAGAATCGGGATTTGCCCAAATTTATAGATGCTAAATCACCCCGTCCGGGCAGTATAGTAGTGAACCAGGGGAAACCATCCGTGGGGAAATCTAGAGGTAAAAATACCTGGCTACCTATAGGAACGTGGGAACTGGATGCACATGACTCACATGGGCTACAAACTTGAATGGGGGAATGCAGCCTGAATGGTTGGTCCATGAATGTTCTATGTAAATCATGTCCACCAAAGGATCCCCCACTAAAAGTCATGCGCATCAGTTGTTTTGCCCTGAAGCAATTCACACGGGATCTGTGATTTAATTTCTATCCTGCTGCACCCCGACATTCCGCATGACTAAACCTTCGAATGTCATGTTCCAGTTCTTCAGTCTGTATGATCCATGGCGCGCATCCGGCCATTTCTTCAGCCAAAGGAGCAATGCCGCCATTTTTTGCATGAGGCTAATCCATCAAGAGCACAAGGACCCATTCTTAATGAGCGACCGCATGCAGCAGCAGCGACAAAAATGAGCACGGGATTCTCTACCTTCGTGACCACCTGATGTTTGTCTTGCCCCAGTTGCCTACGGGAGACGCGCCCACTCAGCGACTCTTTCGGGGCCTTTTTTTTTCCGGAGTCATGGCCCCGCTGCTTGGCGGGCGATCATTGACATCCCGTTCGGTGGATTCAACGTGTCCCTCAAGTTGGTTCGCTCACTAAGAACGCAACCAGCGGTTGTTGTGCAAACAAGTTTACGGGGTGGGGTTAGGTCCAGGGTCCTGACAAGTGAGCCTCCGGCGTCGAACCTCGCCATGACTGCGGCAGGCCCCGGCAAGCCGGATGTTAAGTGCGGAGTTTGTCTTAAGCCGGTCAGGATAGGTGCTGAATGACCGGCGCCCATTTGTTGGGCTGGAAAAGGGAAACCAAGAGAAGAAACACCACGCTGGGGTTCCTTACAGTGCCCCTCTGATTATGACGTGACGCGGGGTGCATGTGCCACGCAACCCCGTGCCAATGATTCTATTTGATTCAGGCCCCACAAAATCGTGTGCCCTTCTTCTGGTTTGCTGTCATGAGTGTGGCTGCCCCCAACAACAATCCTTTTTGAGTAACACTAAAGTGCAGTTTTGCCCCTTGAGAAGCCCGTGCGAAAAAATCCGAGTCTAGAACCTGGTGGCCTCCGCACCCCGTGGACGAAGAGTCGGGTGGCTCACCGTGTTGCCCCAAGGCCACCCGGGCAAAAAGTCGTCGCCTGACCCGGGGACCCAGGGCCACCCAAGAGGGGTGAGAGGTTTCCTAGGGGCGCAAACAGAATCCCTAAGCCAAGCCCACGCGCGAAAGGTCCCGTCCTGGTGTTGCGGAGCAAGTGAATGTGAAGCAGGTGGTTTCATAGGTGTCCTTTTTGGTGGTTTTGCTGGAAAAATAGATGGCGATTCCTGGTCGATTTGGTGGTTTAATCATCTACCAGGGCCATTTATTTTTTCTAAAAGGACACCTATGGTTGGTTTGTTTTAGAGGGGAACGCCCCCCGAACAAATCCGCGCCTGCGAGGCACGAGTAGAAACCGAAAGCGGTGGCCGTTGCTCTTGCCGGGCGCCTCAGAATCGGAAGCGAAACATCAGACTGAAGAAGTGGGGTGTGGCGTTTTTTGGGGGGGCACCCTTTTTAGGGTGGTTGAAGAGGGACAGCCAGAAGGAAGCCACCTATTTTGGGCGGAACCATGAACCGTTTGTACTCACTTGTCCGACATTTTGACCTTTTGTGTTTTCCTTTTTGTTGGTCCACTTTGTGTCATGGCCCCAATTGTTAAAAAGATGACCCGGTCATTTGGGCAAGTAAGTGTAAGTATTGTCCGTTGGTGTCGTTTCAAGCTGATTGAAAGTTAGACTTGTGTGAGCCAGGGTTCCTGATATTTCGCCAGTGAAGAACTCTCACCTTCTGGTGCCAAAGTGGGCTTCATTCGGTGTCCCTTTTGTGTGTGGGTTCCTCATTCAAAATGGTCACCCCCAAAAAATGGATTGCAGATGGGTTTGGGCGGTCAAATCTCGACCACCTTGGGGGCCCATGAGATTGTTGTTTCCCCACTCGAAGCAGCGGACGGATGATTTGTTCCCCGATTTCTGCAGAACCCCCCCCCCCCCGTCCCCCCGCCATTTCGCAGAAAGTTTGGCCACGCGAGCCAAAGCGAACGCTCGACACATGGTTGTTGTTGGGAAGCATTTTACATTTTTGCTTCTTGTGGTTTAGTGGTTGAAATCCAACCGCTTGACTGCAAATATATATATATATGTATGTTTGCTCCCCTTCCAACGTCAAGCAAGAACATGAAAATCGCGACATCCCAGGCTGGCGCTACCCTTCCTGCTTTCCCAGGCTGGGGCGCCAGTGGGCCTCGGTTGTTAAGGATCGGTCTTATGGCCATGGCGCGGGGAGACTTAGGATACATTTTACATTTTACCAGTGACTCAAAGTGAAGCAAACAATAACATAGGGATTCTATAACTGGGCCTAACTCTAATCACGATGGGTCAAAATCCAAATCTGTTAGCCCCCAGTGAACATCCCAATCCCGACGAAAACGGGTGGTGCACCTACCCCAAAATGGTAGTGGTGTTGACCCACGGGACATGGGGACGAGCTCGAATCGAGCACAACAACGGGCCGCGTTTTTTTTCTTCCTCCCCCCAAGAGGACTCAGGGAAGGTGACCCTCCCACGTTTGGCACCTCGCAGTCCGGTAAAAAGGTACCCTCAGGTTGCTCCTTTGGCCTGTTCGACACTCAAAACAGAGCCGGAAATCGTGCGGTTGCCTTTCCTGGGAAGGAAGTTTCTACCCCTGGTGTTTTGGAGCGGTGGCTCACGGTATGCTAAGGGTAACAGGAAGAAAGCCTCCAAATTGAGCGGAACATTTCACCGTGTCCGTTTTGGACGTTCTCCTGGGCTTGCAGGTTTTGGGCTTCGAGTAGTCCAGTCCTCTCGGGCAGTCATATTCCAACGTAGCTTCACAAAGGTCATAGACACTACATCCCCGCCCCCCCCCCCTAAATACAAGGTTTTTGTCCCCCAAAGAAAAAGACAGAAAGAGGAGATGTCCCTTTTAAAGTTTTCATTTCGCTGCCCAAAGAATTCGCTGCGCCAGCTCCAACAACCACAAAACCTAAAACCCCCCTGGAGCTGCTCCCATCTGAGGTCCCTGGCTTCTCCGTGGGGGGCCTGCGGGGTGGGTGGGTCTCCGAAAGAAAGCTGGGCCTTGTCGTTTTGGCGGGTGCGCCTGGTCTGGTGAAAAAAAACGGAAACGGAAGGTAGACCAGCTTGCCATTTGCGGGGTCTAGCAATATTGACGCACTCATGTGTAGACATGTTTATCTGTTTTGTTTCCCCCAATTTAAGGGACGAACTAGTATGTGTGCTGGTTTTGGTGTACCCTAATTTTGCACATAATCTTAACATGTGGTTTGTTGGTGTTCCGGGGGTTGGGCAGAGTTCTACGAGTCTCGGGATTGAATTGAGGAGCCCAAACTGATCCATGCTTGAAGGCCTATTTCGCAGGGGCGTTTCAAGAGGTCCATGAAGCAGGGCGCAACATGCAGTTGGAAGCCAGTGTTGGGTCGGGGTTTCAAGCCCTGGTGACGTCCTCGACGTTTATATTCTGCCTCGAAATTCTATGGTCGCTTCCGACGCTGTCCATAGATGTCGCGAGCCCAAAGTGCTGCACCATCGCGTGGAGAGAGGGCCTTGCCTCAAAGGAGCCGGGCAGAACGAAAGGTCGGGGGATTTCGGGGCTTTCGTTTGCTGGACGCACGCTTGGCCCTTCACTCCTCCCCACCTTAGAGGTGGACGCAAGACCCAAGGGGCCGGACGCCAAGCCACATGGAGGGCGGCTGGTTTTTGGGGGCCATGTGTTGAAAAACCCAGCTGCTGGGGAAATCCAAGTCCATTTACCAGGGCCACCGTTTTTTTTCCAAAGGGCCACCTATGCCTGCGCGTGTTTTTCTTTTTCTCCGTTATTTTTTCGGAGGGGTCTCTTAGTAAAATGAGCTCTCAAAGGAGTCTGGGCCAGAGGTTTGCGGCCCCCAGAAAGATGTTCCCGCGGCATATTTCGCGGGGTCGTGCTGAGTTGCGGAAGAAGAAGGCGGAGCCGGTGCCGGAGCCGGTGGAGGAGGGCCTTTGTTGTCTTTTGAAGGTTTCCCCGCTGCCGGTGGCCTTTTGCAAGTACTTGGAGTCTCCATGACCCCCTAAAAATGGGTCCATGACCCCATTATTTTGGGTAATGACCCCATTTTTTAAACGTCATGGAGACTCCAGGTCACCAGAGGACACCACCAATGACATGTTGGATGTGAAGTGCTGCTTTCTCGCAGGGGAAGTCATTTGAAGGGCTTCCCCGAGAAGAGGCCAGCAAGGAATTTTAGCGAAATCGCGTTGACTCCCAACAGGATCCCTGTTCGAACCACGTTTCCCGAAACGCAGTTTTTACGGTTTTCCTGGTCGAATGTCGGGACACCGCAAGGCTCCAACAAAATTGTGGCCTAAAAGAGTCAATCTGGGTGTTTTTTTTGGGTACCCCATTTGTTTTTGGTTTTAAAGGGAAACCCCAAGGAAATGGCAAATGAATAGTGGGCTGCAACTCCTCCAAAAGTGAAGCTTTAAAATGGGACAGACCCCCCAGCACCAAGGGTTTTCTCATGTTCCCTGTTTGTTACCTTGGAGAGACCCTCAAGAAGAACACCGACCCTTTCCCCGGCTTTCAACGCGGTTCTTTGGGTATGGGTCAAAATTCAAGCCCCAGGAATCGGACCGCAGGTGTTCGTCATTGAACCAGCCCCCCTTTCCCGTGCCATTTCAGGGGTACCCTATTTTTTAACCCAGGCCTTTGGCCAGGAACCCAGGCAAGCGTTTCAGACCCATCAGCCCGCGAGAGCCTCAGGAGACGAAGCCGTCACCTGCCGCGGTGCTGCTGCAAAACCTGCAGGACCCCAAGGCGAGGAGAACGTCCGCATCCGGAAATTCGGAGCGGGAGGCTTCGGTTTTTCTGGATGGACCATACCCCCCCCCCCCTTTTCCATGGCCCCGGATGAATCCACCCCTGTCAACATTAATAGGGGGGTCACTTTTGGAGGAGGAGACCCCCCATAGAATAGGGCGGGTTCATTGATGCGGTGGCAGATTAAATGAGTGCCGTGTGAGATGATTCGAGTGTATTCTGAGGATTGAATGGCCCCAAGTGGATTTTTCTTCGCGGTGAGCTCCAAAGATCCAAAAAAGGGATGGCTTTGTTGAGGTGTCCTTTTATATTTAGCCATACACAAGGGGGATCCCCTATTTGGAACCCGGTTCGGTTCAAGGGAGATACTTCTGACATGAATTTGGTCGCCAAGTTTGGTGGAGCTTCATTGGGCAGTCAGCCCGGCTTTGGACTCCCATCCTGTCTTGTGGCCGAAAAAACCACTAGGTAAATGGAGGTCAGCAAAACAAGCGTGCGGTTGGAACAGCTTCCCTTTTTTAAGCTCAAGGGAAACAACTGTAGCGGGGATCTGGAGGAAACACGAGCTCCATGAAGTACCTTCGGAAGCTTCCGGTTTTGGATCTGCAACATTTGCAGCTCCAGATGCTGCAAGGGACTTCCGCCTCATGAGAAGTCCCTCTCCTCATTTCAGGAATCCCAATTTGGAGCTCAGAACTTTTTGGCGGCAGAAGCAACAGTTTGGGGGGCGGGGGGGCGGAGTGTTTCCTGTACACCAGTCTGAAATGGCAGAGCTTTCCGCAGATGCGGGCAAGGGGATGACCTTCACCATAGGTTGGAATTGTACAGTACCATCTTTCACGCAACTCCAATGAGGGTTTAAAACCGCAACTTGGGTTGTACCGTCCCACCAACTAACATGGAAGTGCAGAGACCCCTGTAGAAAGACTGCTTTCCTCTTGGAAAGGGGGTTTGTTGGCTGGTGGGAGGGTAAACTTCGCAAACCGCCATGGTTTGGTTTTGGGTCGATCTGGGGCCGATCGCGAAAGACCTTCGCTAGGCGCTGGGCGGCTTGACCTTTGCGGCACCTCGGCCAGTTGGAAGAAAGATCCAAACAACGCGTGGTGTGAGTGCTTGGTTTCCGTGCGTTTCTTGGTTGAATATTTGTGTTTGTTTGGTAAAAACAAATGGTTCCCTTCAACGCTAACGAGTTGTGGGCTTACCATAGTTCTAGGGGTAACTCCCCCATTCTTTCCAGGGAGTCTTCTTTCTAGAAAACCACCAACAACCCTGGGTAAATGAATCTGGTTTTTGAAAAGAACGATGGCTGAAAAGAATGGTTGGAATCAACCCCTAGAATTAGCCTAGAATAGTTCCAACTTTCCAGCTCAGTTTTCAGCAATGTGACTGCGCGGGCTCATGTACCTCGCCCATTTCCTCGCAGATCAACTAAAAAGATGGCCCACGCAGTGAAGCTTATAGCTGCCCCAAGGCGAGCCTAAACGGTTTGCCACGGGCAAAAACAATCCTGAGGCTTGCGTGAGTTGGCCGTTCCACTTGCGTGATTTTTCGGGCCCCTCCATAGACTGCTTCCCCCGTCCAAAAAGTCCAAAAAGCCGTTCTTTGGAACATTCTCGCTGCCCAAGAGGGGGGACTGCTACACTCACACCCTGCACTCTTGGCTCCTTCTTAGATCACCATGTCCACAGAGTTTCCTACATTGCCACTTGATGGTGGAACAGATCACCTGTTGGCTGCCAACTTGCAGTGAGATGCCTGGTGGTGATTCCTTTTGGTGGGTGATGTTCGGTGGGAAAATATGGGGAACCCTGTTGCCCGTCTCAATGATTCGAATGTCTTATCTTGATGATAGTGATGCAAGAGGAGATGCGCCCGTGGCTCTGTCTGGTGGTTTGATTTGAAGCTTATTTTAAGGTTGTTCCGAACCTCGCCAACCTCATGTGTCGAACATGTGGTGCCTGTGATCTCCTTCAAACTTTCCAATGTTCCGATTTCGTCGGAGAGCAACCCAAGTTGCGAGTTTTGGCCGACCAGCCCCACTCACAGACAGACTACCCACTTGCTCAGCGGATTCCACGCGAGTTTTGAGAGAGTGTGAGGGTTCTTTAATTTTGATTTTCCCTCCGAAGTCATCCAAGCAAACCTGGGCCTTTTGCCTTTTTTTCATCATCATCGGCAGTTCCATTGTAAGACCACCAACCTTGTGTAGATATTGAATATAAACGGGACACCAATTGAACCCTTCCCCAAATGTGCAGCAGCTCCGGCGAAAACGACGAGGCTTTTGCAAGTTAGGAAAGTTCCAGCTCAATCTCCGCAGCGCGGTTTCTAAATAGTATCACCTGTTAGAACGCCTGGACTTTTGGCCACAAGCAGCTTGTTCGGTTCCTTTCATGGGAGCTGTACGGGCAGCTTGTTGGCCCAAAATGCCTGGCTTATGGTTGGGTGCTGCTCATATGATTTGACCTTTGGTGCTGTTTAAGTGGAATTGCTTAGATGTTCGGCCAAGTTCCTAAGTGCTGGCCACTTCGGTAATCGACGAATGACAGGTTGACTCCAATGAACAGGGAACCACCTCTCGCAATGATACACAGCGACTCTATAGCCACTGGGTAGACACTATAAAGGCTATATACCATGTTTTGTTCTGGGCCCTGGTTTGGGGGTAGTGGGATTATGTGGGATTCAACTTAGATATTGGCAGCCTCTGGTTCTGGAGACCATCCCTAAGCTCCATACCACCAATTTAAATCAGCAATTGGAGATATTAAATCCATCCCTGAGCTCCACACCACGAATCCAAACCACCAATTGGAGATATTGAAACCATCCCTGAGCTCCATAGCATCCAAAGCACCAATTAGAGATATTAGGTGGAAGCTGCCTTTTCGGTTTGCAGAAACAGCTTGGCCGGTTTCATTCCGAGGCGCTGATCTTGCTGACCTGGTGCCGGCACCGCTCTGTGCAGGCGAAGGTTTTCCGACCGAGGGAGTGGGAGAGTATTGACGTATTTGTGGGTCTCACCCTTTTGGTCGCCCAGTTTGCGGATCCTGGCAAGCTATAAGGGTGCATTTTTTGTAGGGGGAACCCCCAAAATGGCACTTTTTGTTTTGGTTTCCTGTTGAACCAAGCAACAAAGAGTTCTCCCGAGAAAGAAAGAAAACACACCCACAGAACCCCTTTGACCTGTGTCTGTATTGCTGTCGCCGTGCTGAAACACGTTGCTTCTCTGCGAAGCCTCGCCAGGCTGGCGAGCGACGCTCGCGAAACCGAAACCGATGCGGGCAGTGACTAGAGAGATTTGGTAGCGACGCTTCCTTACTCCCCATGTTCCCCAAACCCACCTGAAATGATAATCTGCCCGCCCAGTCTCTTTTCTTCCCATGTTTAGTGAGGGTTCCAAAGGGTGAACCGTTTCTTGTGGGTCTTGTGGTGAAGTGGGTATTTGGGGATTGCCTCAAGGAATCTCAATCAAGAAGGTTGTCCCTGTAAAAGAATAATGGTCTTCCACGACCCTCTTGTCAGGTTCCATGTTACTTGGTGGCAGGGTAAAAACGATTTGGGCCTTTTCCTCCGTAATTTTCCCATCGGGATCATGAAGCATCGGATGGGATGTTATAGCTGAAGCCATTGAGCAGCTCAGATGCCCTGCATGTGTCCCTTAAGGTGAATCATATTGAAGGCTTTTCAAAGATGCTTTTGCGGGTGTCCCTTCAACCACCATTCAGAGGTTTGTTTGAGGATACTGGAATGTGTCCCCGTCTATTTGAGCGCCATATCAAGGGCATACACAAACGGCCACATTTTCTAGGGGTTGATTCCCCATTCTTTTCAGCCATCGTTCTTTTCAAAAACCAGCCATTTCCCCAGGGTTTTGGTGGGCTTCTGAAGGATCCCTGGAAAGAACGGGGAAGTTACCCCTAGACATTTGTTTGCCAAAAAAGGTGAGTTGTTTTTTCAGAGTCCACGGTGGGCCACTTGGCCAAGCGAGGAAACCCGTCCGCGTTTCGGTGTCCAATTGATTCGTTTGGTTAAAAATCCCTGGGTAAGCCACTGGTTTAGACGGGATCTATTTATTCCATTGGCCAGGGAAACCCATCCAGATATGTGTCTTTCCAAAAGGTCACCGATTTGATTGCCCATGAAAATTGGGACAACAGACACCCAGTATTTTTTGGCTGTGTGGCTTTTGGGGGTACCTGGTTCACCTTGGTTTACGGGAAACACACAGGAATTGAACACCTTGAGCTTGGGTTCTCATGCTAGACTTGCCTATTTCAGCGTAGGTGACCAAGGGCTGTCCCACTCAACTTGGAAGGAACATGGCGAAGCGACAAATGGAACCCTTTGCCTGTTCATGAGAAGCTCGCCAAATCGAGCCATCCCAAAGTCTTGGGTGACCCGCAATGGTGTCTCCTCTACAACTTTTGGATTTCAGGGTAGACTGAAATACGACATATTATGTTTGGAGCAACAAATAATCACCGGAATCCATTTTGGGACCTCCGATTCCGTGTTTTTCCCCAGATAGCCGAAAGCTATGGGGTTCTAACTTCTAATAAAGAGGGGAAAGTGATTTGCGAGATTGACGGCTGGGTGCTAGGAGGCATGCAGATTGGGGTGCTGGTGCAGTTGTTTGCTATCTGGGGTCAATGCTGGTGTATTTTTTTTACACATGCCCACATGAACCCAACGGGAAAACCCACCATTTCGGGGGTTCACCAATTTGGTGGGGAAACAACCACAGTTTCGGTGGGGGAAAACCCACATCTGGGGAAAAAAACAGCAAAACTGGTCTGGCCAAAAGAACACTCCTTTGGTGGCTAGGTCCCCCAGTAGTGCCCTGTTACCCTTTTTGGGCCCTATTAAAATAGACTACAGAAAAAAGTTGGTACCAACTTATTCGAACCTCTCAAACCTGGCGGACCTCGGTGGGGATTTTGCTGGGATCCGGGATCCGGGATTTGGCCAGCCGACCCCCCCGGCTTCTCAGGCCTTCCGGCGGCTGAAGCGGCCCTACTCGCCGGAATGCTTAGCTGTGGCCCCCAAAACCCACGGCCGGAGCTGTCAGAGCCGTCAGAGAAGCAGACGACGCACTCAGAGGTCAGATAGTGTCGCGCAGCCAGTGGAGGATAGAGCATGTGGAGGTGCAGCGTTGCTGGTTTGCCGTGCAGCTGTGTGGGGTTTATTCATGTCCCCAGAGAGTTGAGAGAATAACAAGGGCGTTCTAACTTCTAAAATACCATGTTGCCTGTGTTCCTCGCTTTGGGTTGCCTTGTTGGGTCGGCTGCGGCTGTTTGACCGGATCAGCTTGCCTGTGTAGATGTTGAACCCAAGACGAGTGCACTTCTAGGCGGACTCCCAATGGTCATCAGTCAGGCGCCCGCGCGCAAATTCTGCTTAACTTTTGCATAAGTCTGGGTCTGCATGAATATTTGCATGCTTAGAACGGGATGAATAGTATGCAACACTCAACTATGAAGCACTTGCTTGTGAGCATGTAGGCGGAATTCGCGCATGTGCAGCAATTACCCGCTTGACATGCTTCAGAGTAGGCAGTGAACCTATGCAGAGGATTTGCAACACACCAAGTAGCGCGCTACCCTAGTTCAAGTTGCTCAGTCCCTACGCAACCGTGGTCTTACGACGCCGGCAACGCCAACATGAATCTTGGGGGTTTCAGAGTCTGCAATGGTTGTGGACATCAGAATGGGCATGAACAACCCCTGATCCGTTTTCAAGGGAAACCCGAGGGATTTTGTTCAATTGATAGTCATAATACAGGGCTCCTCAAAAAAAGCATTTTGCCCATTTCAAACATGGCTTTTTCCACCAAAATAAAGGGACACGACTTACAAGGCAATGTTCAGGTGTATAATGTAAGGATCCCTGCAATACGCTTTGGCCTGGGCTGGGCCGAGGCTCGCCGATGAGGGGAACCTGCAGGAGAATCCTGAGTCTCGAGTCGACAGCAGTGATTCGCCGGTTCGGGAACGGGTTGGTTCGTTGAGGCCGACAAGAAGAAACGAAAAAAAACACATGGTAAACTGAATTTCAAAACAAGCCCAATCATTTTCACGTAGGCTGAGTTGTTCAATTTCTTCTTGTAGTGGTATCCCCCCCAATTTTGAACAACCCAGTCTGCTTGGTCGAGGGTCGCAGCGAATTCCATTTGGAAAAAGCACGTACCAATCCGGTGCCAGCCAGGGTTGCCATTTGCCATGGGTTCCATGATGGGTACCTATTTCTTCACCCACAGCCATGTACCTTGGACACTCATATTCTGGGAAGGTAAATGGTTGCTCGAGTGTTCTTTTTTTTATTATGGAGGACTACCAGCTGCCAAGAGCCCCCCAAATGCTAATACGTCTCAACTTGCTGAGCATTCGCCTGCAACCTGACCCTTTGTGGTAGATCAAAGGCGCCTGAAGGGAGCAACATTGTGTCCACCGACAATACCATAACTTGGCGGTTCCCAGCCATCCGGTTTCTTAGATGTTTAGGTTTTTTAGTTGATTTAGTGGTAGTATCCACTTAACCCACTAAAAGTTAAACTGTTCGCAGGGATCTGTGGACAGCCCGGCAGATGAAGTCGCATCCTGGCGCACTAATGAGCCGCTTGATGAATCTGGGGGATGTCCCTTTCCCGCGAGAGGGTAACGGAGCTGAGAATCACCCAATCTATGACTTGATGGCTCCCGGCCATCCCCTTATCTTTTAGCCTTTTAGTGTTTAGTGGCAGTTTCTATTCAACCCACTAACAGTTACACAGCCCAGATGACAGAAAGGGGCCGCCCCATGTTTTACAGCTATCCATCCGAGCCCCGGGGGGTATTCCCTTGTTCTTGCTTGTTCCAAGTATGGAATTTGGATGGTTTGGGACAACCGTTTGGGGTCCCTAGAATTTAGAATGAACGCAGAGACATTTCCTCATGCCGCATTCCTCAGTGAGAGCCAGAAAGTGTTTGGCAGCAACATCGCCTTGATTTGGTCCAATTGATCAAAATGCGATCTAGGCAAGGGGGAGACTGCAACCAAAACCCTGAAAAGATTCTGGCTCTTTTGTCTCGGGGATTGCCGACGTCGAGTTTGGGCTCTTGTGATTAACACGACCCCCACCCCTTTTTGGGCTAAAAGTACAGTCCTATGGATGAACCTGCCAAATCATGTTTTCTTTGTGAAGGATGGTTCCCGTGTTTACCTTCTTTTCCAGGTACATGAAGTGGGTTGTCAACGTGAAGGGGCCGGGTATTTAGAAAGTGGTTAGTAACCATGGTTGTAACACCTACGGGACTTGCAACCACGGCTTTGGTGGGCTAGAGATCACCAATTCAAGCACTCGCATAGATCTGCCTGTCAGGATCCCCAACCCCTTACCCTTACACATGGAATGTAGGGAGGGGGTACCTCCTGGAATGTAGTCGCATTTCCCGTGTGGAACAACTGGAATGGAATTTGAAGTCCCTCACTTCATCGCCCCCTGTTTGATTTGCAGCATGCACAGCTCCTGGAATTCTTCCAAACCTGTTGCCAAGTATTCCACTCCCCGGGTTGATGCGGGAATCTAAAACAGTGGGGGGATAACCTATTTTTACCTAACGAGATGTGTTCATCATTTTATACAAATATGTACTCTTATACAAGTGGCATTGGTCCTTCACACCAACCTGAAGATGTTCTTGGAAGATAATTGGTAAGCAAGGTGGCGTGACTGGCATGCACTGGGCCATGTGAGCCACAATCAAAACCCGGGGTATGGGGCAGTCCCAGCTAAAATTTTGCTGCGGCCGCAGTTCTAATTCTGGGTTCACCATTGTTGTACCAGGTTTTGATTGTGACTCATGAGATGTGGGGCTGACCGCAGGATTTGGAACTGGACAAGGCGCAGCAGCAGCTGGAGAGAGCCATTACCTGGCTGCAGGCGTGGGTGGCGTGTGGCGCGTGGCGTCTGGAGTGTGGCTCTGGAAATATTTCAGGCTGGTCTTTGTGAGCGAATCCTTTGGGACATGTTGGGAAGCAATGCTTGTGCGCTTTTTGTTTTCAGTAAACCCACGAAAGGTTAAACGTTTTGATCAGAAAAGAAGAGCAACCCAGTTTGGGTGATTTAATCTGGGCGAATTGTAGCGAAGGGAGGGGTGGGGTGGGGTGGGGCTGGGCTGGGCTGGGCTGGGGTGGGGTGGGGTGGGGTGGGGTAAGGTTGGGGGGGTTGCGATGTCACCCATGATAAAGGTTTCTTTCATAGGGATCCCTGACTTGTTGTTGGTCAACTATGATTGTTTGCTCAGGTCGTCTACCCATAGATTGTTTGCCCCTTTTTGATGAAGGTTTCTGTTTGAAGGGTACGGTTTACGGAAAACATATTACAAGCAACCCATTTTCCCATCAATATTGACGGAAATCACAGTGCGCCATATTGATTGAAGCACAAATTCCCGAATCAGGTTTCTCGTGGAACCATCTTTGCAGGCAAGCCACAGGGAAACGTCCCAAAAGGCTAGGGTTAAGTCTTGACAATGGGGCTGATACCTTGTCTCACAACAAAAGGTTTCGTTACGTCTAACCCAGTCAACCCCAGAGATGTTTATAACCCCGGTGACAACCAAATGGCGGCCAAGTACTTATTTGAGTGCACTCCAAAAGGGGGTTGCTTTCAAAGGCGGCCAAAAGAAAATCTATAGCTCTGTCGGTTTGCCAGCTGTATGCCTGGAGGTCGATGCAAAGCTCAAATGACGCAACAACCCCAAATCACCAACAGTCCTTTTTGTCTGTTTTGCTTTCCGCTCCTACAGTCAACTAGAGCGACATGTTCTGCGCGGCCAGCTCTTTGGTTTCACATCAAAAAGCAACCCCAAGCGTTGGTTTCGGTGTCTCTCAAAATAGGAATCGGTCCATTTTCTAAAATGGCAGCGGCGTCCTGTTTTTATATAACCCCAAATGTGGCTCTTCCTAGCAACTCAACGTTTTTGCCCGTGGGTTCCCTTGAAACCAGCCCCAAAAAGGCCCCCCAAAAAAAACACACACACAAAAACAACAACACAAAAGACAGAAACTGGAAACCAACCTCAAAAAGGGCTCCCCAAATAAAACAAAAACACAACAGGCACACACGTCGAGCCATCCCCCACGGGAGGACACGGTGATCGTGCCCATCGATAAGCGACTGCCTGGTAGACCCTTCGAGCAGGGGCCAGAGGCGTCGATCAAAACGGTAGACGAAGGTTGGTAAGGGATACTCCCGACCAGAAGGTCCCCCAGCTAGGTGCCCTTACCGTCTGTTTTGGTTGGGAGGGTTTCCCCACTAAAATAGACCCCTCCACTAGAAATAGACTACCGGAAAAAAATGGGTACCAACTTCTTCTATCCTCTCTGGAAGACCTAGAGAAGCGGCTGCGGCCGTCTGAAAATTCTGGAATGGTTCTGGGTAGACCATTTTAATACCATTCAAGAACAGGTTATGGCATCACTCGGGGTTTGTCCAACCATTTCAGTGATGCAAGTTGGAATTTACTGGGGGGGGAGGTAGTCTTTGGGATGCCCTTTTTGTTGTATTACAGAAGTTGTCTTTTTCCACAGCCCTGCTTAAGAACATGTTGTCCCTGATTTTAAAGGGAATCTACACTGGACATATGCCAGTGTTTCCGGGGGACTTACGCAAATGGAGGGCGGGTGTGAAGTTAAATTGAGGTCCCGAAATGGTGGACGTCATTTACCGAATTCCTTCTGGTTTCCCTTGGATAGACATTGGTGGTGCCATTTTCCCCCATTGTTTCGATGGTGGTTGGAACCCAATGCAATCCCTGACCTGGGTTTGTACCACCTCCAAATTTGGGAAATAACCCCCCCAAAGAGTGGTGCACCTTTATCTTGCTCATATTTGCGCACCCCTTTTCATATTTACCTTGCTCTCTTGCCCTGTATTTACCAACCAACACAGCCCCTGTTCCAAAACAAACATATTTGCCTTTCAAAGCCCCGGTGTTTTTTTTGCCGGCGGTTTCTTTAGGTAAATGCAGTCCGAAGGAGATGGCCATGAGCCACAAAGCTTCTCAGTCACTGTCAGTGGGGCTGGGCATAACCTTCCACCTCAACAAGTTGCCTCACTTAGAAAGAATGGCATTGCCAGAAGGTGATGTCAAAACACAAAGAAACTTATCCATCCACATTGGGCCAGCCATTCTATATTTCAGTTGGGTTCAAGCCTTGAGTTTACATGTATACTAGTTAACCCCACAAACCATCCTTGAAGCACTATAAAGGATAGTGGACTGGTTAGTATAGTTTAAGGAGATGTTCAGGTGGCTAGTTTGAAGGTGTGGAGGATTAGGGCAGCATGTGCTCTGTCAAGTGCCATCCTTCACTTCCCAGCAACCCACTGGATCAAGAGTAAGCCAAGGGAACCACTTGGAAAATGGCTGGCGCCAGTCGGCATGCAGCGGGCCTCCGTTTTTGGTTGGCCAAAGTGAGTTCCCTTCAGGCCCAAAGGAACCTCCGAATTTTCCGCATGGGTCTATCTTTTTGAGGGTGCCCTTTGTTGGCTGGGTTTCAAGGGAGCCTAAAAGGAAAACTCAATTCTGGGAGGTCCCAAGAAAACAGACACGCCCATGTATTGTGAAACGCGAATTTCCCTTTGTGTCTCTTCCAGATTCAGGACACGCTCCCTACATGTCCCTTTCTGGTCGATAGCGCATTGCCTTTTGGCCCATTTAAAGGCGGGGGAATGTAGGGAGCCCCTAGATTGGGCTTGCCTCAAAGCGAGGTGGTTGGCGGGGTGCTTTTTCACATGGGTGGCTCGTCTTGTTTGGAGTTGGTACCCCTTTTTGGAAGGTTTTCAAGGGAAACTACAAGGAAAACCCGCGACTTGGGTGGTCCCCGAAAAAAAAGAAAGACCAATATAACGGGCTAAGTAATTACACACACATCCTCGCGCTATCACGAGGAGGTGATTTGATTTTGAAGTACTCCGCTGCCATTCTACACAACGGTGACTCCCAACATGTGCTACCGAGCCTCGACAAAGCAAATGCCCATGTCTAGGCCCTTCTGGTAGGAGTGCCAACAGTGCCGCGTGATCAACAGCCCCCTTTACTTGGGGCGGGCAGCGATGGTCATCATGCTTTCAAACGGGGTAGGCGACTACGGTACGGGTTCCTACTCAGGGAACTATGGCCACGACCCACATTGCTGCACTTACCATGGCACAAATGACGAAGATTCAAATTTAAAAGGTTTCCCCTTTTGGACCTCCAAGTGACGGGTTCCTCAAAATTCGCGGATGGGCACGGTTCACCGGGCTAAGCTGCCCTTTGCTCCGCTCCAAGGTTCGACCTGCACATCTTTCCGCACCCCGGCAGCCGGCAAGCGGTGCAATCCAAACAGCCAATAGCTTGGGGTCTTCAACATGCGTTTCTATTTTGGGGTACACAAAATCAGAATCAGAATCTGAAACTACGATTTTCAGTGAAGTTATTTTCTGGCCAAGCGGTGGTGAGCACGCTGGTTAAGCTTGAATCAGAGTTGTCCTCTGAAGACATGCTTTGATGAATTGGAAAGAACAAAGGTCCCCGTTAACTACCCTCCCACCAACTCACATGAAACCCGATGTTCGGGGGGTCCTGGTTTGGACATTTTTTCTTGTAAGGCACTCCCATGTCAGGTGCCATGTCAATTGGTGGGAGGGCAACTGAGGTGTTCTTCGTCCACCCATTTTGGGGCTAGCCTAAAATTGTGAGACAACAAATTCCTGGGTTGTTCAAAATCAATCTTGAATCCTTATGCCAGGGTTGCATAGTTTACCTTAGTGATGCTCACATGGGTAACAATGGTGCCCTGAAATGCGAACTTTACCTTTTGAGCGACACTTCAGGGTTTTGCAACCAACCAACAAATTGGGGAGCCCACAGCATGGTGGCTGTCCTTCGTTGAAACCTCAAAAATGGGCATACTCAAAAAAAGAGGAGCCACCCATGTGTGGGTCTAAAGGTTCAGAACGGGGCTGTGGGAGACTTCTTTTGGCTTTCAAACCCATTGAAAGGGGGTGTCTCTCTGCACACCCCAGCAATCTTTGTCAGCCACCCATCGCTCGCTCCAGCGGGCCCCTTGGTTTCCTGTGGCTGGGGTAAATTTTACTCGGCCCTTGGGACATTTCTCGGGTATGTCCAGCCTATGGAAATGCGATTTGTCCTTACAGTTAAAGGTCCAGGGACCCACAGGGGTGGTTCCCAACGTCGCGGCCTCCCTTTGACCTCCCTTTCAATGTTTTCTCTTAAGATAGGAGGACCCTCAAATTGCAGGGGTTCCTTTTGGTTTCCCTTCAAGCCAAGGTGAGCAGGGAAAGCCTTAAGGAACACGCTACGGTTTAAGCCAAGATCTAAGATCTGGTTCGGTTCCTTTCCCGACATGCAGACAAGCGCGGACAGGTTTGTCCTTTTCCGGTACATGCTTATTAGCCACATGCATAACAACAGTTGCTTCCATATACATGCATTTGTTCCATTGTATTGGTTAACAAAAATGCTGATTCACCACATGCAATGCACAACAACGGTTGCTTCCATATACATGCATTTGTTCCATTCAGCAACGGTTGCTTCCATTGATATACTTAGTATACATGCATTTGTTATATGGCCATGATTCAAAACCAATGGTACCATTTTGAGATAGGTGCATCACCCATTTTGGTCTAATTTAGTGGGGATTGGGATGTTCACTGGGGTACGGGGTTTTGACCCATGGCCATATTGTTTCGCCAACTCAAAAACGGCAGCAACCCGAAAAAGGGGATCTGTGGCAGCCCCTGGCGCGAGCCTTAGGTGCAAGCCGACGGTGCTGATGATCGGGAACCACTCCTCCGGCAAGTGGGGGCGCCCCAGTGGCTCGTAGGTTGCGCCCGGGGTGGGGTTTTTCGTGTCTTTCTTGGGGTTGGTACCCGGTTTTTGAGTGGTTTTAAGGAGACACCGCAAGGCACACCACTTTTTTTTGTGGGGGGCAGCTCTGTATTGGACAGACTGCCTTCCTTTGTTTCTCCCAAGAGAGTTTGTGCACTTTGATGCTTGTTGCAGAGCAAGCGATTAGCATGGGGTGCGCTGCTTTGAAAGCCAAATTCGGGCAGATAGGAGGAACATGACAATATCCAGGCCCTCATATGATCCAGGGCGACAACCTGCATTGGAGAGTTGAAGGCGAAATTTCAACCGTTGAGAACATTTTTCAACTTCTACTCCCGCCAGGTCCCTCGTAGTCAATCCGGAGAGCAAAGGCCCTGCCTAATTCCTTTTCTTGTTGGCTTGTATGTACAACATTCTTTACTCAATTCGGCTAACCTTCCATGAACTTGAATCACCCTCCGTGATTCCCGTCAGCTTCTGGACCCCCAAAGGTCTTGGGGAAAACCGCTTGCCAAATTGGGGGACGGTGTCCACTCGGGGCAAGCAGCAGTCTTGGGAAAGAACCGAGGCTCCAAATCCCCATGAACGGAAACCAGCAGTTGGATGGTTGGGGTCATTCCCTCATCTCCTTCTAAGAGCCAGGCTGAATTTTGGTGATTGCACTCACCGCCGAGCTCGCTTTCCAGTTGGAGGTGAGCCGTTTTGTGGTTTCGGTGAGCTCCAGAGTTTAGCAGAAGCCTCGGTTGATCAATAGGAAGTGTTTTACTTGGAGGGGATCCGGTTTGCTTTTGCGAGGAACACAGCCCTTTTATGAAGCTGGGGTCACTTATCCAAAGCCATTGGTTTTCAGTAGCAGGCTTTGACCCCAGGTTGCACCCCTCTTTTTTCCTTGTGTGCGTCTTGTGCGGCTGGACTGGACTTCAAAGGTGACTTCTTCTCTTCTTGTTTTTTTTTTGGGGGGGGGCATGAGGGGGGTAATATCCGTAGTTGTTCTTTGTGTTTTTGTGCGGGGTATCCCTTATCCTTCCATGGAATATCTTCCAGTGATACCACCAGCGGATTTTTCGAGCCTCAGGTCCACCTTCATCAACCGCATGATGGGAGTGCAGGTGCAAGAGCCTGGCGCCCCAGTTAGGTGAGCCGGAGGGCCCCCCCCCAAAAGAAAATGAATAAACACAACAACATAATAATGAAGTAAGTAAATGTGGTGTTTGGTGTTCCTTTAAAGCAGCTAAAGAAGGGTACCCGCAAAAACGACGCCTGTGTGTGTGTGTGTGTGTCTGTGTGTGGGTGCGTGCGTGCGTGCGTGCGTGCGTGCGTGCGTGCGTGCGTGCGTGCGTGCGTGCGTGCGTGCGTGCGTGCGTGCGTGCGTGCGTGCGTGCGTGCGTGCGTGCGTGCGTGCGTGCGTGCGTGCGTGCGTGCGTGCGTGCGTGCGTGCGTGCGTGCGTGCGTGCGTGCGTGCGTGCGTGCGTGCGTGCGTGCGTGCGTGCGTGCGTGCGTGCGTGCGTGCGTGCGTGCGTATGCGTGCGTGTGTGTGTGTGTGTGTGTGTGTGTGTGTGTGTGTGTGTGTGTGTGTGTGTGTGTGTGTGTGTGTGTGTGTGTGTGTGTGTGTAAGTGTGTGTGTGTGTGTGTGTGCGTGTATGTTTGAGTGTTTATTTGAGAGTAATTCTTTGGGCTGTTAGAAGAAAGCCAAAAGAAAGCCACCCATGGGGTGAGAAATAGCTCAGCGTATGAAACTCAGTATCGGCAGTGCCCAGAAACTTATATGAAGCGCCGTCAAAATGACTTCTGTTGATTTTAGTCAAGTACTTTGGTAGAACCAAACGTCATGGTTTCAGGCGCTCAATTGTGGCCCAGCCCGGCCACCCCTTTCCTGGGAACTCTCCAGGCGTGTTCTGCTGGTTGTGTATGCTTACCTGGCATAGGTGTCCTTTTTGGTTGTTTTGGTAGAAAACTAGATGGCGATTCCTGGTTTACCTGGTGGTTCAATCATCTAACAGGGCCATCGATTTCCCCTAAAAGGACTCCTATCTTACCTGGGGGTTTCTCATTTCGGGTGATGGAAACGAGAAGCAATCAGTTTCGACTTGCGGGCTTTCCTCCGGGTCCCTTTTGAAACCTCCCAAAAGTGGCGATCGTTTCAAGGGAAACCGCCAGCAAATTGATCAACTTGTGATTAGGGGAATCCAGTGACGCCTGTAACACCCCAAAAAAATGAAAGAAAGTGTGTGTTTTTTAGCGCCAAAAACCAAGTGACCCCTGTAAAACCCTCGTGAAACGCATGTTTTTTTGGCGCCAAAAACCAGAATGGCGCTTTTTCCCCTGGAAATCTCACCCCTTCGGCCGCTTCGAGGACGGGTGTGGCGCCCACGGACGACGGGTTTACCATCCTCGAGCGGAGCGAGGAGGAAGAGCAATTCGAGGACCGGATCGATCCGAGAGATGCCTTCAGTTCCCAACTGCAACACGACTTGTCTCATCTTGGTGGCTCCCAGCCATGCGGTTCCTTAGCCTTTAGCTTTTTAGTGTTTAGTGGTAGTACCCACTAAAAGTGAAGCTTTTCGCGGGGGATCTGAGAACAGCCCAGTCATGTTGAGCCCGTATTTTCATCAACCCCAGTGTATTAATAGGGGGGTGTCCCTGGGTTTAGTGGGGAATCATCACTTTTAGGAGGGGAACGCCCTCATACTAATACACAGGGGTTGGATCAAGCCGGGGTCAACATTACGATTAGCTTGCCTTTGTCACTTTGCGCCCTGCGTCCATCAGTTTATCTTCAACCAGCAAGCAGATTGAGGTGGTTTGCAACCGCTGGCTTGGGACTATGTCGGCTTGCGGTGTCTCATGACCCAACCTGCCCGGTGTCACTAAAGATGGGCTGGCGCCACAATGATGCACAAGTGAACATGGAGCCCAAAAACGGGTCCCCCGAATGGAGATTCCTCTTTCAGGGTGGGTGTTTGGGTTCCATGTCAACCTGTGGAGAAGTTCAAGTGAAGCAGCAGTCGGGGTCTTGAGCCAGTCGGAGAGTTCAAGGTCTCCGATACTTCATGAGGGGGTCAGTTGGTGGGTAACTTAGAAACAATATGGGGGCAGATCTTGCTGGTGCTCAAGAGGGAATGTGGGAATGAACCTAGGGATTCCCAAAATTTCTTGCTGGTGCTCAGTAGGGAATGAGGGAATGAGAAATGGAATGATCCCTATAAACCATTCCGAACCTACCTTGGAAGGCAACCCCAAGAAACGGACGGTTTCCACTTGCCTTTTGAGAGTCGTAAGGCTGTGGGTCAAAGCCAATGGTACCATTTTAGGGTAGGTGAATTCACCGCCCATTTTAGAGCCGATTTTCGTGGTTGGATTGAATCGGATGTTCACTGGGGGCTAACCGATTTGGATTTTGACCCATGGCCGTAACACCCGAAAAACACTTTCGTGAGCCTCAGCAAGGGGATAGCACAGGACGGCCCCACGCTGACTGGCTGCGCGGAGAATCGGGCCTTCCGTGCTGGGGCCCCAACGTCGACTTTGGAAGCCCGATGGGCGGCGGAAGTCGATTTTGGAGTTACCCGGGGTTTTGGGTTTTGAAGGGAAAAACCTGCAGGAAAGTTGAAGCCATTTTTGGTGGTCCCCAAAACAGACATCCCCAGATGGCAAATGGGTCTACCTTTTCCTGAGGGCACCTTTGTAAGGTTGGTTCAAAGGGAAACCAAAAGGAATCCATGCAGTTTGGGGCACCCCTGTTTTGACACATACCCATGGCTTTTCCAGAAAACC